TAACCATTTCATGGACCACAGCGGTTTATAGTTATGCTAATGTATGATTTATGAAATGAGTACAAAGAACTTAGGAAGAAACTGCGCAAGCGTAGAAAAAGAGATGACTAGGATGAGACGCGTTAGCGCGTCACGCTGTCGTCAACGTGTTAACCCTGCTCATTTCCCTTCTAAGCTTTCCAAGACTTCGATCGCTATTTGATCGAATAATATGAACCACTTCTGCCTAGATGGATGAAATCTGTCATCCGTTTGTTCCTCCGTAGGTATATGTATAAATTAATTGATAACTCTTATACCGTAATCCGAGTGGAAGTCGAGTGCATGGCTCGATGCAGAGTTTTTGATCATTGCCACACTTCTTGGCATTATTATACGAAGTTGATAAGAAAACAGCTTTTCAGTTATTGGGATCACTCCAGACTGCTTCGTTTACTATACTACATTGAATAAGATCATGAACACTCCACAAAATGGAACGGCTTACGACCTGCTTGAAAGGAATGACGCTACACTGTGCGAAAGCTATATGCCTTTCATAACTAGAACAGTTCGTCATTTCTGTATTTATTCAAAATATAGAGTGCCCGGAAGAACGGTAAGGGTTTAGTTGGGAGCCACGCTGCTTACCAGGCGAGGAATCAAGTTCTGGAAGGTATGCCATTCGGAGCAAACATTGCCTCCGGAGTCTAGTTACTGGAGCAGTGTTGTGGTGGGCGAAGCATGATGAACCTTTGCTTATTAGCGTCTCAGTCTTGTCAAGTCGTGGCGCCAGGTGGGTACATGCTCCGCGCTTACGTTCCACTCCATAGTTCTCACGCAAGAGCCTCATTTCGTTCAGAAATCTTGAAGGTTGCCTTCAAGATGAAAGTTTTGTATATTCTCTTTTTTATGGTTTCATGAAGGATATGGCCACAAATAGAAAGCGCAGTATTTTCTTCAGGAAAACACACAAGGAACTGCTTGTTTATCGGATTGAAACGCGTTGGACGACGTATGATGATACAGAGTCTAATCAAGTATGGAAATTTCACAAGATCTGGGAGGTTTAATCTGAGTGAAAATATTCACTAGAAGTTACGCGCTCAAGGAGTTATCAGTCTTAGGCCCATGTCAGATTTTGCGAATCGAGCAATTCGCTTTCTAGCGATTCGCTAGTAGTCAATCGCTCAATTCGCAGAGTGTAACATCGGCCTTACGCATGTTAATCGATGTACTTTCCTCAAAGGCACGGGTCGCGATCGAATTGGTGCGGTATTAAACAGAGCAATAAGTGCGAAGAGGACCGTCAGTAGGGGAAAAGGCAAAATGAACTATCAAACACTGATATGTGAGACCTGCTTTTCTTGAGGTCGACCGTGGTACGAGTCAGCACCGTGGTTACACATAAGTCAAGACGGAATAGAAGCCGGGCAAACGAGGACGCCGAGAGAATACGCAGGAGAGTAGTCCCCTAAGAGGGCCCACAGCATTCGCGCGGTGGGCTGGGAACAACGTAGGAATGCGACGAAATTACACAAGTTTAGGAGGACTCCTCAGTGCCCATTGCGCGTACTTTGGTCAATGTCTGCGCGACAGCGCCACGGCTACTGTTCTTGGAGATCTTGCTATCTCACTTATGGAGAGGATTAGTGAAGAAATTTGAATACTGACTAAATCTCATCTCACACATCCCCAACGCTGAATAATTATTGAAAGTGTAATGACAGTCCATGAGCTGAGCTAAGCTTATAAAAGAAGTTCTGGATGCTTGTAGAAAGTGGTCAGGATCGAGTGCACCCAAGCTATTCCTTGCCAAAAGTGCAGAAAGGCCAGGGGTTCACAAGGCGCAAGGGGCGGCCCAACTGTTGTGCCCAACTTAAAAAGGCGTTGGGCAAGCGGGCGCGTATCCTTGCTTTATGTGCTGGGTCGCTTGCCTGCTGATCAATCGCAGCAGAAATGGACTCGCTCGCGCCCAAGTCGCGATTAACACGGGCTGCTCTTGCTCGTTCTCCCTCTCCTCACAGCGCTAAGTCTCTCTGTCAAACCACGGCCGACCTCGCAAGGGGAATTTCGAAATATTGATGTTTTCTATGGACATGGAGGAGCCGGACATGAAGTGTCTGAGGCAGATTGATTATGTGCGTTACCTTCGATACGCCAAGACTGTTTTCCGATGTCCTTCTTGTAGGGAAAAGTGTGATAGCGGCTGGCTCCGATCATCGGCTTCTGCGTTCGGTGATTCTCTGCGATGTCAAGAAGGGAAGACGAGATTTCGTATAACTTCGACAAAAAAAACACTCATACGATGTTCCTTCAATGCCGACATGTATGCCGCGATAATAGCGTTGTCAGACCTGAAGATGAATATGGGAAGCAGTATCGATGCCGATTAGGAAGACCTAGTTTGAAAGATAACGCCCGTTGTGCCGGGGGGAGAGGAGCGATGCGAGCGATAGCCATAAGAGAACCTGCCGACGAACGACGTAATATACCGGCGCGGAACGCGGCAGATGCATGCAAGCAAAAAGAGACGCCGCCATGCAAGAAGGCCGCAAGGAGTGAAGATGCAGGCGGAATGAATGAGAGTGGATATATAGAAACAACGTGTAAATAGCGCGGACACTCATTCCTTAGAGCGATGGAGGGGAAAAGAAAGTCGAAATTTGACGACTATGAAGGAGTTATATGAGCAGAAGAAACTTTCAGTGACGCTCGAAGAAGCTCCGAAGGAAGCGAAAGGGTTACAAGCGCTGAAGAGCGTGTTAGGAAAAGGGACCAATCGTCGATTTCGAAGGAGGCGCGCACGATATACCATTTCTCTACTCTACGGCGGGCAAAGGGCGCAGCGGGATCAGGACAACTAACCGGCGAAGCGAAAGTACGAAAAGTCCCCCAGAAATGCAGCTGACCAACGATTCACTACTGGTGACCGAAGGTTCTCCACGGGACTTTTTTACTCTACAAAAGGTCGCGTTGGCTGCAGAACATAAGCGAAGCATTGCAAGAAGAACCGGATTCCCAGCATGTCATGTGAGGGAGTGGAGAAATGTTGTTAAACACGGGGACAAAGGCTGCGGGCGGACGTCCAAATCGGAAAAAAAAGCCCATTTTTTTTTTCGGGGCGGCCTGTGGACAGGCAATCCGTTCCGCCCACGGCCAACCCGCCGAAACACAAACTGACAAGCAGGCGGATTACCGCTTTTTAAAGTGCTGGCAGAGCGTTTCAGCAGATACTGCAATGGGAAAAGGGGTTCGTGCAGCGTGGAAGAAGTCGAGAACGATACTGCTCATGATGAAAGGCGATCCCGAAAGCTTGAATAACTACAGACCTATCACCTTGCTGTCTCAAATCTATAAAACCTTCACAAGAATAATCCTAAATCGCATAGTCAGAGACCTGGATATGGTCATGAGCCGAGAGCAAGCCGGTTTTCGAAGTGGATACTCCACACTCGATCACTTGCACATTAAAAGCCCTGCTCAGTGATTTCGATTGGACAGGTGGTATGGAGATCGATGGAGAACGGCTGACTTATCTGCTTTTTGCCGACGATTGCGTAATTGCTATTGAGCTCCAACAGAAACTTGTGCAGCATAGAAGAAATCCACTGAAATTGGACTTGAAATGAATTTGTCAAAAACCAAGTGGATGCACAATCAGTTCAGTCCTACAGCAACAATCAATGTAAATGGTGAAACGATTGAAGAAGTGAAAAGCTATAAGTACCTTGGACACCAGCTCAGCTTCATTGAAGGCGTTAGCGGAGGAGTACAGCAGAACGAAGAAAGCAGCTTGGTCTTTCAACAAAATCTCAAGGGTATTGCTAGACGATAACCTCCCGATGAAACTGAAGGCATCTTTGTTTCACTCACGGTGATACCTGCGCTTCTGTACGGCGCGGAATGCTGGTCGCCCACTAAAGCAGACGAAGAGAAATTTGCTGTGATGCAGAGGTCAATGGAACGCAGAATTTGCAAAGTGTCACTTCGTGAACATATCACAAACACAGAGTTCGAAGAAGAAGTGGCCTTGTTGATGTTGTCCAGGAAATGTATAATCGTAAACGAGATTGGGCCGGTCATGTGGCACGTCTTGAAAGACAACAGATGGACTTCCCGGCTTATGAATTGGATCCCGTTGGATCACAAGCGATCGCCGGGAAGGCCTAAAATGAGGTGGGCCGATCCGATGGTGAAAATGCTCGGCCAACAATGGAGACGACGTGCTCAAGACCGGAATGAATGGTTCAAAGTCGACTTGCGTGAATGGCGAAGTTTGCGAGGACAAGTCGGATACAGGTGATACATGATGGCGCGTTCTGTCTTTCTATCCACTGACGTTCCTCACCGCACTTCTTGTCTAATTTTTGAACAAAATAACACACCAGTTGGATCCGACCCATGCCTTCAATCCCCTTCAGAACGAAAGTTTTTTTTATTATTGCTCTTACTGATATTTTTCAGCTCCATCACCTACAAGAACATCATTAATGCTGATGAGGCAAAGTGGTGGAGGTTTAATGCAACCATACGCCACGAGCAGTTCTTCACTGATGAGTTCCCCAAAGGTTAGCTTTTATCCTTGCTTTCATACTTTATACATGATTTTATTCCTGTGAACTTGCTACTTGAATTTTGTGTCCCAGGGAAGTGTTGCAGTTGGCTAAAGGCATCAAATGCAATTTGTAAATTTCCAGGGATTTGGTTCACTAGTGCTATCAGTTCGAAGTATCGCATAATGCTTTACGGCTACGACCGCAGGAATCTTGTGTACGTTTTTACTCTATTAAAAAATATATCCTTCTATTTTATAAACCGCTAACTTGGTGTGTCGGTTTGTATGTATGTCTGTATGTATGTCTGTCCGTCCGCAAAATGAAGTGAGTGATAAGGAAGCTCATGGAATAAACAAACCGCTAACAAATCGGGTAGCTTACAGGACTTTGAGCTATCAATGTTTTGCAATGGCATGATTGTGATAACACCCCAACGGCTATATAAACACCTACTGAGGTCACTTCCGTTATTTCACATGGTGCTGCGGTGGCAGCTGGAGGGAGTGGAAGGAGAGGAGAGGGGGTGAAGTGTTCGAGGAGGGTAGGCGGAAAACCATCCCCCAACAGGCCTAGGATGCAATTAGCTTTTGGTAAGGTCATTTTAGGCCGTAAAGCGTACGCTGTGAAAGAAGGTCCCGGCGGTTGGAACCACCTGGTAAAAAATAGTGTGGGTGTGGATCAGGACATGACAGCGGCCGCGCTGCGATAGCAATATCGCAAACCATGGTAACGCGGTCGCAGACGCCGTGCCAAGGGGCGCGACCAGAACAACGCCAGTAGTTATAGCTCGAAGAAGTGACAATGAGTCGTCATGCCGCCTCCATACACTTGGCACTAATTTTAGCGGTGCCATTCACATTTCCTGACCTACATCCATTTCGTCGCTGGAAGGCACTCAATATTGGAATCGTTCTTGTCAACGAAAATAGAATCTTGCAAAAAGCAGGCAGTCAGAAAGACTCGCCTTGAACGAACCATTTTTGGGATGAGCTGTGTACTCGATTTCCGTCAAGCATCGCAGTGGGAAATGAATGCATAATTAGATTACATATTACATAACATGCGTTGGTCAACCGGCAAAAGTGTGATTGCTCATACTCTTTCACAAAAGTCTGCTGGAAGCAAGCCTGAGTAAACTCGTCTTGAGCGCGCTGCTTGTAATGAAGAAAGCGCAGGTTAGAAGTGAAAAAAGCAAGAAAGTAATCTCAATTCCAGCTAAAATGTACGACTTGACCCTTCTGTGAGGACGAGTATGGCACGACGGAGAATCCTAGCTAACAGAGAAGGCAGAAAACTCGAGAGAGGACGTCGTAGAAGAGGGCCACATAACGACTGTTGTGGGCCACCTACAGACAATTGCCGACCAAGAGCGTTATATAGGAACGTTGATAAGTCCCTAACGCCCCTAACGTGCTCGTTCGAGCTGCGTCAACGGCGCACAGACGACCTTTGCAAATAGTTCTAGTATGCCTACCGGAGGGATTTCTTTAGTGGTCTTATACCGGGGCTTGCCTATTGAACTGACAGATACCTAGGAGTAGAAGTGAAAGTCGGGCAGTACTATCTATGCTTGGAATTCATTCAAGGTGTAGTACTTTACTTGTGTAGGTGTGGCGCAATTTCTCAGTGCCTTACTTTCGCCTACCAAATCCCTTAGATTCAAACCAGATAAATTTTTCCCGAGTAACTATTTTCTCCAGGATGACTGAGCTCAAGATTGTGGCCGATAACAATGGTGGTTTGCTTCCTTATTACAGCAGCAGAAGTGAGGATTTTGAGTTCCAAAAAATTCCAACTTGAGATTTGAGAGCATATAAGGTCAGGTTTAACCAGGATGAATTTAAGTTATCAGATTCCATCAAAGGGTAGCGTCCCCATCATCAAGTGTGTTCGTTCGAGAACAGAGTGGAGTGGGGCGGTGAGTGGGTTTTGGAACGACCTATTCTATTCACTGAGAATCACGTGAATTGTTTGCTTTCAGAAATGTATTCGTGTTCACAGATCTTGGCGGCGATTCTGAAGAAGCGAACATAATTCCCGTCGAATCTGCTCTTCATAATACATTTGATGGTGTTCGGTAAGTTTCCAGTGGACTGTAGTGATAAAAAATAGATGGTTGTTGTAATGTCTATCCATTCGCAGTCAATCTCCACTACAAATTGTAAAATCATTTAGAAGAGTTTTCCTTTTTTCGCTGCCAACAACTACAGTAATCCATCCACGAGTGGCGATTTTTTGAGTGCCCTGGGACCGCTATCATAGCACTTCAACGGTTCCAACGCTTCGCGCGCGGCGGTAGGGGAGGTCATCTCCGAGCAGGGTCAACCCTACGTTGTTACGAGTAACAACGGGGGGTCGTACTCAGTTGAGCTTGGAGGGGGGTCGTACCCTCTCGGTGGCCGACAGTGGGATTCTTGGTAATATCGGATAATAGCCAGCACGTTACGTTTTCGTAAGATGACTGATACTAGAGCATCTATAAACCACGCTTCCCTCTAAATGAGCTTTCAAATGAATCAGCGAATTAGAAGGGCGCCCGAGGCGTGGCGCGCACCAAGGCAAGGGATGTAGTGCAAGCGCATGCTCGGAGCTTTCTAGCACATCCTAAGTTAAACATAAAATTGGTCTTCCAAGAAGTTACGGGCAGTGAAACCTAAGAAAACTCGCGTTTTCGAGAAAATGGCTTGAAGAATACCCCTCAAAAAAAAAGTAACAACGGGACTAATTTTTGAACTGCTGATCTTTCAGGAACGCTTGGGTGCTCGTTAGAAAGCTTGAATCCTGTAGTTTATTATACCGTTCAGCTTCCCAAATGAATGACTTTGAAGGAAGTTATGATCGTTTGAAGGTCAAAAAGTCGCCTTTGCACAGAAAAAAGTAACAACGTACTAAATTTTTATTAAATTAACTTTCGAAGAATTTTTACCCATGGTTGGATAGAAAATAATTTGAATTTTCCAAATCAAATCA